TGTTACGTTAATTCTGCAGTTACGAATAATGCTGTTTATGTTCCGATGTTCTCAAACCAAGCCACCGACAAAAAAGCTTTGGAGATTTACCAGAAAAGTACTATGAAAGACGTGGTTCCTGTTCCTGGGCTTGATAAAGTTGCTAAACTTGGTGGTAGTATTCGGTGTATGTCCTGGCAAATTGACCAAGACCATCCAATAGCAAAGAAACTGTTCCAGTATATCGAGGGCAGGGTTTCTGATGGTGGTAAAGACAGGTCATAATGGCTAATATGAACAGTATCAGCATTTTTCAAAAGCAGAACATTTTCAGAGTCAGTGTTATATCTTTCGGTGCATCTAGAATAGTTTTAACTAGTTGCAGGTCACTGAAATCCACAAATGTATCTAATATATAAGAATATATAGTAATAAATTGAGTTCTTGATTGTATAGTATCTATTCTTCATGAGATTTAGTTTTTGGAAAATAAACTTGATGTAAAACTCAGTGATCAGATCCCATTTCCCAGGGCAACGGGCTACCACTCCTCACCTATGCTGTAAACTGATTTATTTCATCCGCAACGCCATTCTCTTTTCCATTCTTTCTTTGATACTTTCTTTCATTAACTTCTCTCAATGTTTGAGTGCGCCGTCTTCTAGAAAAGAAATATCTTTGAACGAGATTTTCAGCTTGGAAAATCCATTTCATATTCAGCATTCATTTAAACTGAACCCTTTGTATGTTTTTATGAAGGGAKATTTCCCTTGACTTCAATATTCAATTTCAACCAAAACTAGATGTTCTTAGAGCGTGAAGACGGGCTAGCTATTTTTGAAAATTGGGAAAGACAGGATACTACATGGGTGCGCGTATAGGAGAACGAGTGAAAGGTTTTAAACACGATAAGATTATGATGTAATATTCTGTCTATCATATTATTATATATRAATGTAAATTATGGCGTAGAATATATTTTTTTACTTCTAATACATAGTGAAAGCAAAGATGTGCGTTATTTCAATTAATGAACTTTAATGTAATGTTCAAAATTGTAATTGTTTATTCGCACGCTACGATATTATTTTTTGACTGCWTTCCGCAACGACGTCAAAACGATAGAAATATCGAGCCAGGAAAAATATGCTGTCTTTCTCAATTTTTTTCTCTTGGTGGCACTATTTTCTCTGGAGTTGTTAGCCTTACCCACGGATCTATGACCGGAGCCTAAAGTTAAAGGGACCGTCCCTAATAAGGAAAAAATGTGCTGGAGGATATAATATGCAAATGAACTTTCTCTTGTCTCTAGAATTGTTTTTATTTCTTTAAATGTAGTTCAACATTCAGACATATTATAGCTATTTTATATTAATGCATCAACCATCGGGGCGAAAGAATAAGTGAATTTCTTGCGATGATTTCATTACTTTGATGATTTGTTCTTGATGCTGAAAGAAAGAAAAAAAGTCTTGAAAAATGTCCGTCAAAATTCCATTGGYGTAGTGCTTTTACAAAAGATAAAACCATGCAGCCGTGGCCAACGCAATCATATTATTACAACTAAATGAAGGTTTATATACACATTCTGTCTGGTGTAAGCTTTGTGTTACCTTCTTTTGCCAATGTGGTGTGGTGGGCGTGGAGGGCGTGGAGGGCGTGGTGGTACTATTTGCTCTGGAGTTGTTAACCTTACCCACGGATCTGTGACCGGAGCCTTAGGCGCTACAACAAAATAACAACTTTGTTACTTTTTATCATGCTATTAACTATCAGCTAACGTATAGTAAATTCTTTGTTCATTTATTGTAATATTATACGAGTTTAGATAATAAAATTCGATATTGTTACAAGCTTGGCATTAAAAAGTGTTTAAGATTTTCCACTGAGTATGACACAATGATTGATCCACACTCAGGGAAGTTCAGCATAATACTAAACTTGGTGCTGTGATATTCTGATCCAGAAACAGATTGGCAACTTACAGCAGTATGCAGGGCAACATTGACCAGGTATATACACTGGGTTGTAGCAATTTTCACGGGAACATTGTATTGTTGTACACTTTGCTGCTCCACCAACACACTGACACTCACGACAAGTGGAAGATTTTTTGATGGTCCACTTTTCGCCATCCTTTTTAGGAACATCTCCGTCGTAACAGGCTATAGATTTAAACATTTAGTATTAATTTTGCACATACCATATCATAAACAATATAAATTCTAACAATGTAAAATATAACATTTATTCAACTCTTTTTTATAGTCAAGGTCTCTCAGCAAGTGCATCAAGTTGGTTATTTCGGATATCACAAAAACTTCATCCAATAATTGTTTATGAGTCCTTGTACGCAAAGGAAGGGATAACGATCAAACTATGTATTGCCGARAGTGAAGGTAAGAAGGATTTATTCGAATGGATATATATTTGATACTATACGTACCACATTTCTTGGTACAGCATTTACCAGGCTGGCCTTGTGTTTTGTGTGGACAGTCGAATGGATCAAAATGACACACGAAGTCTATACAATCAGATTTACCCTGACTGCATTTGCATTGACTGCATTGTATGTCATTCCCTTTAATCCAATGCTCTCCATTTGCATAACCTCCGCTGCAGGCTACAACAAAAGAATTTTGCTGGTGTAGGTGAATTGCACATAAAAGTCACCAATGCCGCAAAACTTGGAGACTGGATGGAGACTTAAACACATAATAGACATTGAATTTCGTCCATCAATCGTCGCAAGTTAGTAAAATAACAATGTAGTAACATAATTTATCATTAGATTTTTTTTTATTGCTCCTTCCATGTGCACCACAAAAACTCTTTACGTTTTGAATGAAAATCCTTGTACACCACCATAAATTATACATTAGATTGCTTTCTTTTCTTTTTCTTTTCTTTTTTTTTTTTCTTTTTCTACTCCAGGAAATTGAAAATAGAGAAGAATTCTACCAATCAACATTGTAAGACTAGACGCTCTTATAGCGTTTGCTCGGGCTGTAACACAAAGTAGTTGCGTGTGATCAATGACATCCTTCTAYAACTATTTTCGATTCATTAGGAGTACCTAATTGGTTGTTGTTTTTTACTTACTTTAAGTAAGAGAGAAAATAACTTACTTTTTGGCTGCTGAGGATGGGCATCTGAGAGAGAAAAGGTCAATATTAGTCAAGAAAAAATACCAATTAGATTAAAAATATAACTGAAARCAAAAACCTAGTTGAACAAGTGTGAATTATATTAAGTATAAATCGTAAACTGATCCAAAAACGTATAGTTATAATATAAGTTATAGTAAAATTAAATGCAATTYAAAGTTGACTTCGGTTTCCCAAAAWCTTTTAAGACACTTTTTTATTGATCGGCTGAGTTTCACCCCTAAATCATGATACGACGATCCTCTCCTCCCAAATATGGTAAAGATATCCCCTCTGATCAAAGCGCGCGAACACAGCCTAAATTAAACCTGATCAGAAACTCCTTTCTTTTTATGGCAACTTCGTAGAAATTCATTAACGATTTACATTCGATTTACATATATAGCAGTATACCCTTTTTAATTCATACATCTCTTTTATTAATGAAATCCGTAGTCCAGCTTTAAAACAATTGTACGCCAGTATAGGGGCCTTCACGAGTACATACTTATCTGACTTATCTCATATACTGCACTATTGCYAGCCCCAACCATTTGTCCGTCAACGCCGTAGCATKWGRSAGGATCCAACTTCTTTGCAGACTTAAAGCGGTCAGGATTTTCTTTGTCAGGCTCTCGACATTCACCCCAGWAATGCACAGCAAAGATGGGACCTTTAGCATGCTTTGCGCAMCCTTGTACAATGTCTGTAAAATTTTTATTTTTCCACAYTGCGSCCCAATCTATGTTKCTCCGTTCGGAGTGGTAAKRCTYKCTTCCAAATGGTTCACCTTCGTAGCAACCGAGATTCTTGACTGCGATTTTACCTGTAGAAGGAACTAGACGATCCGTGATCGTATACATGGGCTTCCTGTAGATGTAAGACGACATCTATGATCGTCGAGGATATACGATTTAAATTCATCGATCCTTGTATTCTTATTAATAATCATATCTGACATAACAAAAATCAAGTCTTTTCGAGAATATGGAAGATCAAGTTATTTGAAGATTAATGAGATATGAGTCATCCACATGCACCACATGCAAAGCGAACCATGCGATATTACGGATTAGTAAAAACTTATTAAAACAAAGTTGATCATAAAGCCTTGCTAAAATGACTCTTTGCAAGAAGAGAACAGTATCCAAGGCGTCCCTGGAAGAAGCAGTGTCGATAAATACTGACGACTCTCTTGTTCATCAGSATCTTCTTGGAGTTCTTGGCTATGAGACGCTCGCTGCACCGTTGAAATTCTTGACTCCTGCGTATATGTTTTTACTCATCACTCATACAGTTTAGTTTTTTCATATCAGGATTGATATTGAATTAGCCATCTTTATGAAGAACTTTGTTATCATCGTTAGGCGTGTTTTTAACCCAGTTTGGTGGACCAGCTAACTTACCTTAACTTGCGAACTTTCTTGCTTTTCTCATTCCTGGTCTAGTGTCTTCATAGGCTGCCCAACTGCTGCTTGAGAGAAGAACGAGCTGTGCACGTTTTATTTATCGTCAAGCGCTCTTGCTTAGTGAAAACCGATTGCCTGTGGCATACGTCACTATCTCTGTTCTTCGCAGGATAAACAAGTCTCTGGAAAAGCGCGTGTGTCGATAATACAAAAGCGGCGTGCGCAGCTCGTTCTTTTCTTTTTTCAAGCAATCATTGTGCAGCCTRTTGTGTCGTCGGAGAGGATACCACGATACACAGGCAGCCTAGCTTATTTCCTACTTGACGACGGTCGACGACCAAGCGGTAATCTTGATTAAGAAGCCCATGGGGAAGCCCATGTAATTGAAATTAGATCCGATTTCAGATTTAATTGAGATGCCAAGAAAAGTCCTGTGTCCCACATTATATTTTTTAGATAAGTGTTAGATCACTGATCGATGAATCCATTCTCAGTTTAGTTATTATCTTGCAAATATTGCATGCAGTATCCAGTGGTTGATTGATAGCCCAATGTTAAATTAACCCACTCGTTACCATCACTAGATATAGCTATTATTATTATTAAATATTAATGGCTCTCATGTACTCCTCACTACTCTCCTTGCTAGCTTTGAGAATATTTTTTATTCTTACTAAACCTACCTGCAGTTGAAGCTTGTAGTTCCTAATGGAAAAAAATATATTGAGAATTAATGGCTTAAACTGAAAATAAGAATTCTGTCTTCACAGGTCACGTGACCCCACATCCCTTATTGTTTAAAAAAACTCCACAGATGAAAAACAATGCCATTGGTTCGTTACTTCAGGGAAAGAAAAGTCTTTCTTTTTATGCAGAATAAAAGTGAAGTTTAGGCAATGCTCTAGTGTTTAGAAAACTTTTATTTTCTCTTTCTCACTTTTTATTTCATAAATTGTGTGATGATTATTCTTAGAACACAATGTTTTAGGGGGTACTCGACCCCGGCCGTTTTGTGCCGCCAGCGGTCTAAAACCCTGAYCCTGTTTAAGACACTAGAAAGTAAAAATCCATACCCTGTTCAAGACAAATCGGAAAAATAAGGAATCGCTATCTACGCCGCAACCATCAAAACTGCAATTATACTGACATCTATCAAAGGTAGATAAACGCCTCATTTTCTCAGAAAAAATCGTCATGCATAGTCACAACGTTAAGCTCTGGGGTTACCAATTTTGCTCGAATATAACAGAAACGCGATCATGGGAAATGAGGAGTTCGTCTAGATTTCCTCTCAAGAGTTCGCAAGTCACAAGCATGTACTTCATTGSCAGTTTTTCTGTGATTTTATGAAGCTCGGATGCATATAAGTTTCCACAAGGAGACTCACTGTGAAGCTAAAACGGTTAACTGAACAACAACTCACTCGTCTAAAGCTGCATGCTTCTCATTTTCAGGAAATATAATGCATTAAAAAATGTCAGTTAACGCACAATACACAGGCAAACAGATTAAATTAGAAGTCAACTTACAATGAAGACAAAAAGTCCCAATAGCAAAATACACAAGTCCTTCTTGTCCATCTTCAGTTGCTTATCGAAACCTGAAAACAAATTAAAGCCGTCTGTTGGTCTTTGTACTCTTGCGTCGCCAAGGAGACAAGAGAGCTATGACAGTGGTATGTTATCTTGTGCAAACTTTTCACTATCCATCATTTCGCTATACATCAGTTCCGGGACGCAAACACATCACTACGTCACTAAGTTTGACATGCAGCTGACATTTTTCGACTCGTCTTCAAAATTCCTTTCTTTTGATCTACTTTAGTCTACAGTGTTTGTTTAGGAAATAGTAAAAGATCAACAAAGCAACTGAGTAAAAAGCTTATTAACTGCGAACGTTGCTCTTCCTTGATGCGTAGTTTAGARTATTAAGAATGCTTGATGTAAACCAAAAAGTTAAACTAAAGATTTGYAGAGAAATTTACTATCTAAAACTTAAACGTTGTTACTGGACGACTGAGAGTGTGCCAAAGTTCCAGTTATGTCTTCTTGCTCTTTTTCTTCTCTAGAGAAAACTAGTATTTAAGATGATACTATGTTCAACTATCTTGATACTTATACAAAATGAATCACAGACTAATTGGCACGCGATGATAAGGCGACTGCGGGGTTAAAAACCTGAATCAATGTTGAGCCATCAACGTTAATATACAAAGTAATCAATGTTGTAAATATAAATAATTACCCATTGAGAGAATTCATTTAAACCTATTTATTACTGCCCAGATAGGCAAACTAATTATCACAACAGTGCTCACGAACACTGGCCAAACTCATCTCAATGAAATATAAAAACCACCTCAAAGAAAAGACGACACAGAGAAAATGAAAATCACTGGAATCCGTTTTTCTTCTAAGCACACATACTTTACGATATTTGCGTCATTTTGCATCTTAAGATGTCTTCACTTGTCAATTATCTCCATGACAACCATATAGCGTACCAGCAATGTTAATCATGATCTCCCCATGATTGTCTTAAGTGTTCATATTGTTGTTTATACCCTTATAATCGGTCATATATCAAAAGATATCGTTACATATTAAGCGAGGTATAGCCAACCTACAGTTTCACTCGCTCCTTAAATTTAAAGTGATTAATTGAAAATTGAAAGTGTTTTTTGTTGATTGAAGTTCTCGTTCATTATTCGCGTCTTCCGCTCGTTGTGTTTGAGCAAATAAGAAATGGATCAATAAAAATTTGAAATTGAAAAAGAGCAGTCATTGCTGCAATTAAAGAAGTTAAAGATACCCTGGGTTTTCTCGTAATTTTTCAGTWTCGTATTTCCATAAACTATACGAGTACATYTTGTACAATGCCGCATTTCAATACTTTTTTGTGGTAAATCTGGAGGTGGGATCACCAGAGTGCCCAAACGTGGAATGCCGCGTATAACGCTGTCCTGATTCTCTCGATAAACTGAGAATACATTCTAAGTAATTGTAAAAAGCTTATCGGAACCGGAGTTAACTGATTTACWTCGAGACTTCTTAGCTGTACAATATTGGCTGGAATTAATATGAAAGCAATGTCACCATCCTGACTTAAATTTCGTCYTTTTCTACTTCAACTTTTGCATTTTATTGTTCCCAAAACGTTCTAGATATTAAGTTAAGAAAGTTTCAAAATCATTAAACATTGTTTTTAAAATACTGCATAATGCTAGCCAAGTCTTTGCTCAGGACCATGGCAACTAAGTCCAAAATAAGAGATATCATTCACCAAAAGTTTACGTACCTTAGGCTTGGGTGATTTCGAGCAAGTGAGGATTTAAGCCCACAAATTGAGCAAATATATATGTGACGCATGACAAAGAAATCCCCGAGGATTGTCATTAAACTAAAAGATTGTCCAATTACCGTGGTGTTGGCACAGAACTAAGCTTTTAGTTATTATTACATCGTAATTGGAAACTTAGGACCTAAACGCAAAATGAAAATTAATATTTTAGGGGAAAGAAAGACCTAAGATAGAAATGGATAATTGGACAAAAAGAAAAATTTAACATAAAAGAGAGAAAATTCAAATTAAATGAAAAAAGTAAGAAAGAAWAAACTTCCCAAACAGAAAAATTAAATGCTCTCAGTTGGAGTTCTTGACTATAAGGTTTTCTTATGGTTTTAGTGGTTCTAATTTATTTTTTTCGCACCTTTTTTTAAAACCGATAGAAACTGAAAAGAATCAAAAACATTCACAGACAATAAATAGACAATAGTCCGGCTGAACAGTCTTGTCGATATAACTCCTTCTAACCACTGTTATAAACCTTAAAGTGAATCATTAATCTAATCATGTTTGAAGATATCGAGAATACTGAAACTTTTTAAAAAGAGAGAAGAGAAGGAAAAATGCGCAAACCTGGAAAACTGTAGTGACTTATTGATGATGTAGGCGTGAAATTAAGGCAAAGTAATTTATTATGAAAGTAATTATACACAATTGACGTAATTTAGAACGCTGTTGAGCTTAAGTTATTACTCAAGGTCGTAGCGTGGTAATTTTGAGAGGTATGCACAGGTCGGCTTGGTCAAACATCTAAAAAGCAACATGAAGTCAGGGGATTTATATTTGCCTGTGTTTATTTAAGCTTCGTCTATTTATTAAACCACGTATTCGCATGTGAGTTTACACATAAACGGTTATCCTTTTCAAAACGGAAAATATCAACTTTCAAAATTTTTCAAGTACAGTAACCAYGTATATATTTGCCGTTTCGGACTCTACGCCCTTATCATTATAAACCTGAACAATTTCATATCGATGATTCAAGATGAAGACTTTTAGGATCGAGGGTGACTTCCAAAAGAATGATATGGATCGGCTTTGAAAGGAACCTTATATCATTGTCAAGAAAATATGATCTTTCTTTTCTGGCAGAGAAGGTGCCAGTAATTCCAACAAAAATTTACAAATCCGAATTCAAAATTTYAGGGTTTTTTTYCKGTACATGCATTTTAATTATTTTGTAGACTTAAAAAATATCGAAAAAATTGATTAAGATATACAAGTATGAGACATTGACTAGATGATATCAACTGCTGTAGCACAAGCGATAGATAAAAGTCTTTGATGACAAATAGATTTTTGAGTGATTTTTATGCACTTTTTTCATCTGTTTATCTCAAATTCCAGATCATTTTCTTTGTTGCTGCACACAGTTTACTAATAAAATTCAATTTAACTTTTAACTTCATTTCCTGTTTTTTTAAGGAGGTTGTGACTTTGGTTATAATTATTTCCTCTCATATTAAAAAAAAACATACCGCATAGTCAAGTAATTTAATATTTTCCAATATTCCAAATGGTTTTTATTATAGACAGATTGGCAATACAAATTTTCCAGTCATATTGATAGCCTGTTTWAAAATGTCTCCTGCCGTTTAACGCGTTTTCTTAGTTGAAATATCACTTTGAAAAACATAGTTACAYCCCCGCTGTCTTTATATTAAAATTGTGAGTTAAAACTACAATCAATTGATCTAGTATTTTTCCAAGACAAAGCCCGTGCTTAAAGCTAACAGGTTCACAAAGTTATGTTTCCTATAGTTACACACCAAATTTGATTAAATTACACCCCCACTAATGCATGGCTAAAGAATCTCATTGTAGATCAATTCAAAGATAAAATCTAACTTAAAAATCACTTTGATCTGTATCTTGGATCTATGGGTTTCAAGGAGTGCAAAGCTGCCAAATTAATTAATGCCAATCTGTGCCTAAGTACTAATAAGTCATCTTGGTGGTTCGGTGGTGTTCCTTTATTCCGGCTACAGTTCCGGGTATTTGAGCTAGGAAATTAAAAAATAATTCATGAAAAATGCTATACGGGACGAGGCCAATATATCGTCTTGAACATCCATTCAAACGCCGTACAATAAAAAGATTAAAAATTGTCGATAATTGCACATTTAGCATGGCGGATCTGGCTCGCGAGGTCTTTTATGTTTTTTGCTCACTGCTGTTCAAATTAAAAGGAGTCGAGTGAATTCAGCAGTATATCACTGATAGACAAACSAAAAATATACACAACAAAAGATATTGAAACTTGTGTTAAAAGACTTTTTACAAACACTAATTTTAGGCCATACTGGACAAGGTTTAACTTTTTCTTTGAACGAGACGCGAAGCTGGAAGCCAGATCTGTACTTACAATATATCTAATTTAGCTACCGTCAGTTATCACGGCGCTTTACCGTTTAATGAAATCAAATCTTAAAGATAATTGAGTTATCCTAATTCATACAATTTACAAGGGAAGATAGTTGGAAAAAATCGACATATATGCAACTCAATATATTTCGCTTTGTACCACAATGCAATTCGTCGACAATCTAGAACTCTTTAGACAACCTCAMCCCCATCACAGCKAAGACAATGRCAAGAGGGTCTCAATGGGGTGGTACGCATCACGRCTCACGGCTAAAAATTTGGCGATTTCACGACTCACGACTAATTTTTACTTTTATAACTAATTATAGTATTTTAAAATCGATATCTTATCTAATTACAGAAAATTTCAGATTATATACAATGTCCGTACGAATAGAAAACATAACTCGGCCACTCTGTTTAAAATTTGATTCTCGGTTGCGCAATCGCCGCGCTGTGAAAACCTATTATACGTTTAATGAAAAAAAGCCAATGAAAGCGCGTTTTAAATTATCACATTATAGAAATATATAGAAATAATTACTAAATGATTCTGCAGATATTGCAATCAAACATTAATGTAGGAAGCTAATCAAAGACAGCAACAAAAAGAAAAAAAAGAAATATGAAAAAAGAAAAAAATTGAGTCGTGGGATTCGAACCCATGACCATAAAATCGAAAAAAGGTTGGGACGATTCCCCCGAGACATTCTRTGAAGCTGAGGCGGCGAATCGATTTACATTCCGGTTAGAGATTTCGGCTCTTCCATGCTATCCCGATAATTGGTCCTAACTTCGCGCTAACTAAAAAGCCAGTGAGGGAGAAGCTATCCGGCCCCTAGACACTKATGGATAACCYCTTGCACTAACTAGGCAACTATCGAAAGTATAATGTCAAATTGGGGTAGTCTATTCGGTGAAAGTGCCAAGTGGTCTATTATTAGGTAAATGAGCGTGGTCCAGTGGCGCACCGCGTTAAGGCACTGCTTGYAAATCCAACGTAGGTTTGACGGTAGCGGGATCGATTCCCTGGACGAGACGTTTACTGATTGTGTATTTTCATTTCTATTTTATTTATTGTTTATCTTCTTTTTTTTATTTATATTTTTATACTATTTTTTTTATTTATTTTTTTTTTTTGCAGAATTATTGTCATCTCTTGTGTTTGGCACTTTCCCGAGAGCC